AAGGTCCTTTGTCTGAAAGTGTTCCTGTAGGAATGCCTTCAATCTGTCAATGCCCATTTTATCATTCCCAGTCACAACGATATCATCCACATACACCACCAATATTATTTTVYYTRYCGAAGAGTCAAGACTGAAGACAGAGTGATCAACTTGGCACTGTTTCATACCAAATTTCTTGACCACCTCACTGAACCTACCAAACCATGCTCGAGGGGATTGTTTAAGTCCATATATAGTCTTCTTAAGTCTGCATACCTTACCATCCTCCCCCTGAGCGACAAACCTTGGTGGTTGCTCCATGTAGACCTCCTCGAGCAAATCACCATGCAAAAAGGCATTTTTGATATCCAGCTGATGTAGAGGCCAATCATACATAGCTGCAAGGGAGATGACGACACAAACTGACCCTATCTTAGCAACCGGGGAGAATGTCTCTGTGTAGTCAATGCCATGGGTTTGGGAGTACCCTTTGGCAACTAGCCACGCCTTCAGGCGCTCAACACRACCATCTGGCAAGTACTTAACACTATACACCCACTTACAACCGACAGCCTGCTTCCTAGGGGGAAGAGCAGTGAGGTCCCAAGTGTGATTATGATGCAGAGCAGAGAGCTCTTCTTCCATAGCACAGCACCACTCTGGAGAGGTAAGGGCTTCCTGGACATCCTTAGGAACAACCACGGAGGATAACAAAGAGATGAACTGGCGATGGGAGGCAGAGAGGTGAGGAAGTGAAACAAAATTGGAAATAGGGTGAAGGGTGCAGGTACGTTTACCTTTTCGGAAGGCAATAGGAAGATCTAGGTTGGTGGCTGGTGTCGGAGCTAGAGCTGGATCTGTTGACGGTGATGAAGCCGGAGGAGCCGCAGCCGGTACACGCGGGCGATGTGTATACACGTGACGGATGGGTGGACGGTCAACAGGCGGTGGCACTGGAGGCAAGGACGTAGGCATGACTGGAACCAGAGGAGGTGGATCAGCCACAGGAAGAGGAAGAGGAGGTGGTGATGTGGAGGAAGCAGCATCACCAGACCCCACGAAGAACGAAGTAGACTTGAAGAATGTAACATCAGCACATACCAAGGAACGACGAGAATTGGGATGATAACACTTGTACCCTTTCTAAGTTCGGGAATAGCCAAGGAAGATACACTTCAGGGAACGTGCATCTAACTTGTCAGTCCCGGGACCCAGATTATGAACRAAGCAGACACACCCAAATACCCGAGGAGAAAGCGGAAACGGAGACATGTTGGGAAATAAGACACT